ATTAGCCCTGGCTAGTTTGGCTCAGTGGTTAAAGTGTCAGCCTGTGAACCAAAGGGTCTTGGGTTTGATTCCCGGTCAAGGGCACATACTTGGGTTGCAGGTTTGATCCCTGGCTCTGGTCAAGGTCATGCAGGAGGCAACCAATTGATGTGTCTTTCTTGCATCAATGTTTCTCTCTTGCCCTCCCTCCCTTCCACTTTATTCAAAAATCAATGGGAGAATATCCTTGGTTGAGGATTAACAACAAAATTTTAAAAATAAAATAAAATGCTAAAGATTAAAGACTAAGAGAAGAATCTTGAAAGCAGCAAGAGAAAAATAGTTAGTTACCTACAAGGGAGCTCCCATAAGATGTGAGCTCATTTCTCAACAGATAATTTACAACCAGAAGGGGCTGGCAGGAAGTAATTCAAAGCGATGAAAAGTAAGGACCTACAAGTAAGACTACTCTCCCCATCAAGGCTTTTATTTAAAATTAAAGGAGAAATAAAGAGCTTCCTAGACAAGAAAAAGCTAAAGGAGTTCATCACCATCAAAGGAGTATTACATGAACTGTTAAGGGTCTTCTTTAAGAAAGAGAAGGAGAAGAAGGAAGAAAAAGAAGAAGATGGGGAGGGGGGTGGGGACGAGGAGAAGGAGAAGAAGAAGAAAAACAGAGCAACATAAATATGAATAATAAAATGGAAATAAATACATACCTATAAATAATCACTTTAAGTGTAACTAGATTACATGTTCCAATCAAAACACATAGGGTAGCTGAATGGTTAAGAAAACAAGACCCATATATATTCTGTCTACAAGAGACCCACTTCAGATAAAAGGACAAACACAGACTGAAAGTAAAGGAACGGCATAAGATATTTCAAACAAATGGAAATTAAAGAAAAGCTAGGGTAGCAATATTTATAACAGACAAAATAGACTTTAGAACAAAGTATGTAATAAGAGACAAAGAATGTCATCACATAATGATAAAAGGATCAGTCTGACAAGAGGATATACTCCTGGTAAACATTTATGCATCCAACACAGGAGCACCTAAATCTATAAAGCAAATATTGGTAGACATAAAGGGAGAGATCAACAATAATACAGTTATAGGACCTGACATTAACACCACTTAGACATCAATAGATAGATCTTCTAGAGAGAAAGTCAACAAGGAAATAGTGACTTTAATGACACACTAGACCAGATGGATTTGATTGATATTTTCATAGCATTTCATCCCAAAAGCAGAATATACATTTTTTTCCAAGTGCACAAGGAACATTTTCCAGGATAGACCATATGTTAGGACACAAAACAAATCTCAATCAATTTAATAAGATTGAAATAATATCAAGCATCTTCTCTGAACATAATGCTATGAAACTAGAAAGCAATTACAATAAAAAAAAAAAAAAACAGGCTAAATAACAGGTTACTAAAAAATATGTTAACAATGAGATTAAAGAAATAATCAAAAGATATCTTGGGACAAATTATAATGAAAACACAACAACCCAAAATCTATGGGACATAGTGAAAGCAGTTCTAAGAGGGAAATTTATAGCAATACAGGCCTACGCTAAGAAACAACAAAAATCTCAAATACACAAATCTAACCTCATACCAAAAGGAACTAGAAAAACAATGACAAAGGAAATAATAAAGATCAAAGTGAACATAGATGAAATAGAGTCTAAAGAAAATATAAAAGATCAATGAAACCAAGCGCTGGTTCTTTGAAAAGATAAACAAGATTGATACACCTTTAACTAATCTCAATAAGAAAAAAAGGGAAAGGACCCAAATAAATATCATCTAAAATATAAAATGAGAACCAGCAACTGACACCACAGAAATACAGAAGCCTATAAGAAAATATTACAAACAACTGTATGCCAACAAATTGGACAATCTGAGAAAGATGGATAAATTCCTGGAAATATGCAATCTCCCAAGACTGAATCAAGAAGAAAGAGAAAATTTGAACAGACTGATTACAATAAACAAAATTGAAATAGTAATAAGTAAAAAACTCCCAACAAATAAGTCTTGGACCAGATGCCTTCACAGTTGAATTTTACCAAACATTAAAAGAACTAACACCTATCCTTCTGAAACTATTCCAAGAATTTCAAGAGGACAGAAGACTCTCAGGCTCATTTTACAAACCCAGGATTATCCTGATTCCAAAACCAGATAAAGACACTATAAAGATAGAAAACTAAAGGCCAATAACTCTGATAAATAATAGATACAAAAATCCTCAACAAAGTATCAGCAAACCAAATTCAGCAGTACATTAAGAAGATCATTCACCATGATCAAGTGGGATTTATTCCTGGGATTCAAGGTTGGTTCAATATCCACAAATCAATTAACATTATATGCACATAAACAAAAGGAAGGATAAAAATCACATTATCATATCAATAAATGAAGAAAAAATATTTGACAAAATCCAGCACCCATGTTTGATAGAAACTCTCAGCAAAATAGGAATAGAAACAACATTCCTCAACATAAAAAAAGGCCATATATAACCCACAGGCAACATCATACTCAGCAGAAAAAATCTAAAAACATTTTCCTTATGATCAGCAACAAGCCAGAAATATCCGCTCTCACCACCTTCATTCAACATAGTACTGGAAGTCCTAGCCACAGCAATAGAGTTGAAGAAACAAATGCATCAAAATTGGAAAAGAAGTAAAACTGTCATTATTTGCAGGTGACATGATACTATATATAGAGAAGCCTAACAATTTCATCAAAATAACTACTAGAATCAATGAATTTATTCCGCAAAGTAGCAGGATTCAAAATAAATACTCAGAAATCGGTTTCATTTTTGTATAATAATAATGAACTACCAGAAATGGAAACTAAGAAAACAATCTCATTTACAACTGCCTCAAACAAATAAAATACCTAGGAATAAATTTAACCAAGGAACAAAAAGACAGAAATTCAGAAAATTATAAGACTATGAAGAAAGAAATGGAAGAAGATACAAACACAAGTATACACTATACCCATGGATTGGAAGAATTAACAGCATTAAAATGTCTGTACTACCCAAAGCAATCTATAGAATCAATGCAATTTTTATTAAGATACCAATGGTGTTATCACAGAACTAAAACAAATAATCCAAAAATTTATGTAGACCCACAAAAAACTCCCAATAGCCATAGAAATCTTGAAAAAGAAGAACAAAGTTGGAGATGTCACACTATATATTAACAAGTTCATAGTAATCCAAGTAGCATAGTATTGGCATAAAAACAGATATACAGATCAATGGAACAGAATGGAGAGCCCAGAAGTAAACCCATGCCTATATGGTCAATTAATATTTGACAAAGGAGGCAAGAACATATACAATTGGGTAATGACAATCTAGTCAACAAATGGTGTTGGAAACATTGGACATATACATGCAAAAAAAATGAAAATAGACTACCTCTTACACCATATGCAAGAATAAACTAAAAATGGATTAAAAACTTAAAAGTAAGCTGGAAACCGTAAAACTTTTAGAAGAAAACATAGTTGTAAAATCTCTGACATTTCTTTTAGCAATATTTTTCTGATATATGACCTGGGGAAGGGAAACAAAAGAAAAATAAACAAATGAAACTACATCAAACTAAAAAGTTTTTCCATAGCAAAGGAAACCATCAATGAAACAAAAAGACAACCTACTTAATGGGAAAAGATGTTCACCAATGATATATCAGATAAGGAGTTAATATCCATCCAAAATCTAATAAGAACTCATACAACTCAACACCAAAACAAACAATAAAAAATCCAATCACAAAATGGGCAGAAGACCTGAATAGACACTTCTTTTTCAAAGAAGACATACAAATGGCCCACAAGTACATGACAAAATACTTAACATCACTAATCTATGAAATGCAAATCAGAACCACAATGAGTTATCACCTCGTACCTATTCAGATGGTTATCATCAAAATGCAAAAGGTATCCACTGTTGGCAAGAATGGGAAGAAAAGGCAACCTTATTACAGTGTTCTTGGAACTGTACATTGGTGTCACCTATGGAAAACAGAACGGAGGTTTCTCAATAAGCTAAAAATAGAGCTACCATATGATCCAGCAATATATCCAAATGACATGAAAACAGGATCTGAAAGCGACATCTGCACATATCACTTACCTGAAATCTACAAAAACCAAACTTAGGGAAACAGACAATAAAGGAGTGGTTACCAGGGATTGGGGGAAATGAGGAGATGTTTTGACAAGGGTACAAACTACCAGTTATAAGATAAATACATTCAGGGGATCTAATGTACACAACTGTAATGTGATTGTAGCTAAACATAGTATATTATATACTTTGCAGTTGCTAAGAGAGTATATCTTAAATGTTCTCACCACAAAAAAAGGAATGGTAATTATGTTACATGACGGACATGTTAGCTAAGGCTATGGTGATAATCATTTTGCAATATATGTGTATGAAATTAACATGTCATACATCTTAACTTGACACAATGTTATATGTCAATTATAGTCCAATAAAGCTGGAACAAAATAAAAATAAATAAAACCTATCATTGTGGATTACTGTTTATAAGTGTACTGAAGAGAGCCTTAGGAAATATATGGTGCTCTAAATAGACGATGAAGTCTAACCTCCGCTTCACTTCCTGTTGGCTATGTGACCTAGGACTTCCGGTCAGTAAAGTGAGTCAAACTGCTATGAATCATCTTGCAAGTGCAGCCTACACCGATTTTCATTTTTTAGCTGGTTACTGTGACACTGTGCACCCAGACCCTTTATTTCTGTGCATCTCAACGCCACCTCTATGTAGTGAAAATATTCCATTTCCACCTCCTTCTTTTCTAGGGAAATGGGTAAACAGAATTATAAGAACTTTAGAAGGGTTTTGATATAAAAATTAAGAGTAACATCAATCACTTTGTCATAGGATCAATATGTTTTATTGCTTTTGTTCATTTTTCTGTTGCAGACCTCACATTCCAGTCAGCAAATTAGTGGTTTCAGAATCCTATGACACTTACATCAGTAGAAGTTTCCAAGTAACAAAAGAAATAATAACAGAATGTAAAAGTAAAGGTAAGTGGTATTATTTTATACTCCATATTTAAATATGTGACCATTTCTCCATCATGGTTAATAGGCTAATCAAGATGTTTCAACTTGCTTAATGAGTAAAAAATGCTTCCAGACCCTCTTGTAGATGCTTTCGTGTACAATTTGTAATATTCCCTTGAAGACCAAAAACAGAAGGTATTCCACAGGAATACACCAGACTCGGTTTCAACATGAAGTACCTTAGATATCTGCGTGGCAGGCTCTTATCTTGCACCCGCTGAAGGAGGTTCCCTATTACAATTCCTGGAAGTTTAGAATAACATTGTTTTCCTGTAATTTGATCCATGAGTACGAACACCCCCACACAAGTACACCTGCACAAACACACATACCGTCACTGCTACCACAAACCAAGAAATGTTCTGTAAGACTCCAGTCTGTTTGCTATTGAATTTTATAAACATTGAACTCAAATATTTAATAATATGTAAAACTGTTTACAATAAAATTTTTATTTAAAAAGGCAAGTTACAAAAAAGTACATATATTGTCATCGCTTTTTTCAAGTTAAAATATATATCTTTGTAGAACCAAGACTAGAATTATATACATCGAAATGTTATCAGTGTCTCTAGTCAACAGTATCATGGATGATTCCCACCTTCAGGAGTTATTGCTCTAAAGCCACTCACTTCACTACCACTTTCATGATCCTACTGTAAAGATACTCAGCATGTTCTATCAGCCGGAAAGTCTCAGTGTTCACAGGTCTACAGTGGCAACACTGAAAACTATATTAAAAGTAGCAGAGCCCTGGCCAGTTTGGTTCAGTGGTTACTGTGTAGGCCTGCAGACCAATGAGCCGCGGGTTCGATTCTAGTCAAGGGCACGTGCCTTGGTTGCTGTTCATCCCTGGCCCTGGTTGGGGTCATGCAGGAGGCAACCAACCACTCGATGTGTCCCTCTCATGTCAATATTTCTCTCTCTCTTCCTCCCTCTCCCTCCTACTCTATCTGAACAAAAATGGAAAAATATCCTCAGGTGAGGATTAAAAAAAACAGAGTAGCAGAGAGCACTGTAGGCAAAGAACAGTTTTATATCTTGGTTGTGGTAGTGTTTACAGAAAGTTCATGTGTGACAGAATTAAGTAAGCTTAGGGAAAGTAAATAAGCTATGAGGATTATATCAGTGTCCCTTTCCTGATTTTGATAGTGTAGCAGTTAGGCAAGATGTTACCATTGGAGGAGGCTGGGTAAAGGGTGCATGGGACCTCCTGGTAGGTGTGTATATGCATATATGTGTAATATACATATTCTGTATACATACCCACACAATATGTAAATATATGTCAGTGTGTGTGTACATGTCATTACATATGTGACATATATACCATTGTGTTGTGCATATACTATATACAAAGTTGACCCTTAATAATGCATGGGTTAAGGGCACCAACTTCCAGGCAGCTGGAAATCCATATATAACTTTTGACTCCCCCAAAACTTGACTAATACCCTACTGTTGACTGGAAGTCTTACTGAACAGTCAATTAACACATATTTTGTTTGTTTTATGTATTCTATTCTGTACTCTTACAATAAAGGCAGTTAAAAAAAAGAAAGTTCTTAAGAAAATCATAAGGAAAAGAAAATACGTTTACAGTATTCAATGAAAAAAGTTTGCATATAAGTGGGTCCATGTTCAAACCCATGTTTCAAAGCTAACCGTGATTTTAGATATACGTGTGTACTTATTTGTAACCTCCTATGAATCTATAATCATTTTAAGATTAAAGTATTTTTAATGACATTAGGCTGCCTTAACAACACAGAGCATTTTCAAAACACTGTTTGGCCACATTGTCTCCTGGGGAAGGCTCTCTGCCCCTCCCCAGATCCGGCATTTACAAAGTCTACACATGTCTTTATAGAAATGGTCTTCCCGTTTCTTGCCTTTTCCCCCCAGGAAATAACATCCTGATTGTGGCCCATGCATCTTCCCTTGAGGCGTGCACCTGCCAACTTCAGGGCCTGTCACCTCAGAACTCCAAGGACTTTGTGCAAATGGTCCGAAAGGTAATCCACACTTGCATTTCGGGGGCCTGTGGTGCCCAGTCATCGTAGAACAGTCCAGCTAAGTTCTTCGAAGCATGTCCTCCCAGCTGGGGAGGTGTATTTATTGATTCACTCAGCCAAGACGTCTGAGTTACCCCTGTGTAAGGCACTTGATTAGGCCTGAGTCAGACAAGATGACATGTTTGACCTAGTTCTAGTTTTAGGAAGTAGCTAAATTTTCCGGCCTGGCCTGGGGGACTGTGGATGAGATGAAGAAGGGTGAGGGGCCCAGCACAGCATCTGACAGCTCCCCTGGAAGAGAGGCCCCAGCTGTTCGGCCTCGGAAGCAGGGGGTTACGATGTCCGGCTGTCAGGCAAACCCAGGAGCGGGGCAATGAGACGGGAAGCCCAGGAGGCTGACCACACATCTGATTCCTCCTCTCAGGCCTGTGCACAAGGCTTCTCTGTGTCAGCCAGCCTCCCACACACTTCCCTCCAGGTGACTTAATATGTTTCCTCTATGTGTCCCCAGAGAAATGGTTCAAACTCGATTGCAATTCTTTTCTTGTGTTTTAAAGGCTATTTATGCATCTGTCCTTCCCATTGCTTTGTAAGCTGCTTAAGGGTAGAGATTATTGTCTTGTTTATAAACGCAGCTCTGGACACACACACTGAAAGGCTTTTAAATGCTGTGAATGCTGAAGTTAGGAAGGGCACAGCTTCAACGCTGAATGCTACACAGACACAGGGAAACAAATAAGGCTGGGTGAAACAAATTAACAATTTTCAAAAATTGAATAATCGTTTCCATTGCCTATAATTTCAGAAATGTTTGAGCTGCATTTTTAGATTGACTTGAAATTAGGAAATTAGAAATGAACCCTGGCCAGTTTGGCTCAGCAGTTAGAGCATCGGCCCGTGGACTGAAGGCTCACGGGTTCGATTCCCGGTCACGGGCACATACCAGGCTTGCAGGTTTGATCCCCGGCCCCAGTGGGGGTCATGCAGGAAGCAACCAATCCATGTGTCTCTCACATTGATGTTTCTCTCTCTCTCCCTCTCTGCCTTCTACTCTATATAAAAAGCAATGGAAAAATATCCTCAAATGAAGATTTAAAAGAAAAAGAAATTAGGAATTAACTCCCAGCACCTCAGCTTCATATATTGTCCTCTTTTCTCCCACACTGTTAAGAAGCAAGCTATAAACAATTAATTGCACTAGAGGAACTTACCATTTAATGAATCCTCTTGCAGTGTAAAGACTCTTCCTTCTAATTTATCAGCTTTTTCCATTTTGTTTTCTTTATGGATTTTTGGGGGGATGTTTGTTTACAAAGTCCCAATTAATTTCTATGAATATCCCTTATTCTCAAGGGCCCCCTGAAAATCTCCGTGTCTAGGTAAAAGCTGAAACCTTAAACCCATTTTCTGTTTTTGGTCTCACCTACTCTTGCTTCAGATTCCATACTTGGGGTTTTGTTCCTGTGAAGAATTGGGAGAAACTGGAATATGGCAGCTAACAGATCCACCCATCCTTCCTCTTACCCATGGACCCACTGGTGGCTTCAACTGGAGAGAGACCTTGCTACAAGAATGAACACACCAATGAAGAAGGCAAAAGGCTTTGGAAAGCCTTTGGGAGGAGTGTCTTTTTGTGTGTTTAGTAACAGTGAAACGTCTGCACCACATTATAAGCGACAGCTCGGAATAACTCAGCATCCTTCCTTCCATGCTTTAAAATTCTTGTGATGAGACTGTGCATAAGGAGAAAACTCGATTCAGGGATAAAATTCATTCTCTCTGGACTCTTACCTAGCTATCAAGGCTTTCGAGAATTGTCTTCGTAAGGAGTTGAGGCACCTGCCAAGCAGAGGATGTGTCCTTCCTTCCGCCTCTGCGTGGCCAAGGACCCTGAGTGTCCTCCCGAAGGGAGGCGCCAGCCTTGCCCAGGAAGGAGGCAGGAGAAAGGAGGCGTCCGGAGTCCAGCCCGAGGGACACTGAGCTGCTGGTTTGGTGATGGGATTTTCTTTTTAACTCCATGTTCCAGTTAGGCAAAGCCCAGTTGAAGGATTCTTTCTGGGTAATCAGAGAACGTGCCCTGCCGAGCGCTGTCCTAGGTTCCACGTCCAGGTCCGCGGTGAGCGACCAGCAGCCCGCAGGCCTGGGGCGTGCGGAGCTGCCTCTGTCCGCAGCTGGTGCGCACCACTCCCCACCCCCGCCTCCGTCAGAAATGGGGAGACAAGCTGTCTGCAGCACTTTTGGATACTCAGGAGGAAAATGAGATAACTGTGTGAAGCATTCAATTGTAGGAGCAAAGAACTTCCACCATCTAAAGCGACTCTGAATTATCCGTGTGGCCCCCAAGGAGCCACAGCACTTCAGAGTCGCCCTGGTTGCGGTCCTTGGCTCCTGAGCCTGGACGAGGGTGACTGTTAAGAAAGTTGACATTGTGAAAGGATGTATGTTACATACAGTATTTGAGTCAGCAAAAAGCTCACTCTTGTGCAATATGGACATCTACAAATCATGCCAAGGGTCAGGCTGCCGCCCCCTTGCATACAGTGCATGTCAGTCATAACAGGTCATCCACAAATGCATTGATGATACCAGGGATGTATACAGCGAAGTCAGGGAACTAATTTAAATGATGACAGTCACGCTTGCACTGCTACTTGTGCTGTCGTTGTTCATTTTCTAGGATCATTTTAAATCTGTAGGTAGGGCTACTTAAGGCACGTTGGGAGGACCACATCGTGTGGTTTCCCTTCACACCTGCTTCCCGAATTTAGGGGGAGTTTATTTTTAAAAAATAAATGACAATCAAGCCAAAACATCAGTTACAATGTCTGATTGCGTGGTGAGCTTAGTGCTGTGGCAGCAGACAGTGGTCCCGTGGGGTGCAGCTCACAGTGCAGATGTGTGCAGACAAAGTCCCAGCCACTTACAGGAACATCACTGTCAAACAGATCAATACCCATGACATATGGTATATCAGAACAGGTGTGTGCTCCTGTTTGAAGTGAGAACTTGATGATCCCTGAGACGAAGAGGGAGTAGAAGTTTGCTGGCTCTGTATGTTCATCAGCAAGAAGAATATTGCTGGGTTTTTTAAATTCACTTAAAGAAGTATGTCATGAATTTTACATTTTAAGAAGCAAATCTTGATTTCTTCTAGCATTGCACAAACACCATGCTGATTCTGAGTATAGATGTAACTCCGCTGACATCACTGATTAATATAAATGTTTTAACCTTCAGTTGGTGAAATACTCTCATTAAAGGTTTTTTTTTTTATCCTCACTGCAGGATATATGTTTTTTAATTGACTTTAGAGAGAGGAAGGGGGAGAGAAAGAGAAACATCAATTGGTTGCTTCCCATACGCACCCTAACCCAGAATCGAACCTGCAACCTTTTTGGTGTATGAGAGGCACCAAGCCAGGGCTTATTCAAGGTTTTAGGAGAAACATCACTTTACAGTCCTTTAATCTGTAAGGAAGTGAGCCCACTGTTTAATCAGATTTATATTGTGTATTAGATTCTGCACAAATGTCCGTGGACTTGCACTGCTCAGAGTGTTGCTCGAGTACGTCACGTGCTATGTCCCCGAGAAGAACAGCATATGCTCTGGGCTGTATCTGTGCTTACACAGAGCCAAACTCCGAAGGGCTCAGCTCTCCCATTTTATGATGACCTGATAGGTCAGTGTAGCTGGGTTACAGACATTGTCCTCAGTCCAATGTGGACAGAGCCTCAGACTATTGTCTACATGAACAACAAGAGGTAGAGATCTGAAATCATTTTGTGAATAATTCAGGTGGCAAACTCTATGGGAACAAAGAGTTTATTCCTCTGCTTTAATTATCGATTGTTTTTAAAAATGGCCTGAATATCTGAATTCACATTAAATTCTCTTCTCACATTTACCTGTTTAAACAATGGAACTTGAACTCCAAATGAGAAATTATTTGGAAATCATGTAGAATCTATGTCTATTAAAAGAAACATGATGTCATATCCATACAAAAGTTCCAGGTTGATATTGCAACTTGAAATTCAGGCCGGTTATTTTTGATCTGATGCTTATTAAGAACAAATGTCGATTGAGGGGCTCAGGGTGGAAAAGAAAGGAAGGGAGAAGGAAACCCCAGATGACAACCCAAGGGTTCCTTGCAGAGAGGAACTTTTCCGCTAATGGAGGAAGTTACCTGAGACAAACCGAGATGAAATTAACTAAAGGACTTAATCTGGGATTGAAAGTCTGAAACATTTTGCTGCTTGTACAAGTGTGCCATCTAATACCCCAGCATTATTCATAGACGGGACTCTGGTTTCCATGATTTTAAAATGCCACATCCCTTGGTGGGCAAGAGTAATTGGCACATTTTAATGCGCAGCCGGGCGTTTGTGTTCCCGGGCTCACATCCCCATCTCTGCACTGGCAGCTCAGCGCTTACTGCTTCACCCCAGTTTGCAGCTCAGAATACAGTGTTTCCCATTACATTTAGATTCATGGAATCTGAATGGCTGATTAAATGGCCACCTGATGGCTGAAAGAGGGAGATAGTTTCACTCCAATGAAGGGCTTCCAGGAGTTTCTACTTTTTATTTGAATTACTTTAACCAAAGAATTATTTTAAAGTAACCTTATATTTGAAAGATGATTTTGCAAAAAAATAAAAATAAAAATAAAAAATAGTATTTTCTGGAGTAATGTCAGTTTGGTAAATCGGTGTTGCTAATTTCCTTGCATTTTAGGCTGATGTGGTCACTGTTGTGTCAGTGGTATTTGGAATGCATCTCGATTGTCCTCCAGTTGTGTTTAGCATTATCGTAATGTATCTTTTCGACTAGCTGCTTGGTATTTCAATCACCTAGTGTTATTGGGAAGTAATTGCGGAGCTACGGTGAGAGAAGTTCCTATCTCTGCCTCCGAGAAAGGCGTCCTTGTGTAGTAAAAGGGAGGCCTTCCTTTGTAACCTAGGCACTCGGCTACCCAGTGTTTAATTTGAAAGTCGTGCTGAATTGCTCTTTTGAATTTACTCTAAGTAATGTGTGTGTTAGAATGCAGATGAGCTTCCTTTAATTTTCACAGACACTGTCACAAAGGTACTGTGTTTGCTCCAACCGCTCAGATAATGAAGCACAGAGCTATTTGCATTTAAATTGTAGTTTTGCACATGTGTGAGCACCAAGAGGGCTAGCTGCCCAGCCAGGAGGGATAAAACTGTAGAAGAGGCTGGGGAAAGAGCGATTTAGCATCTATTGAGGTTAATATTCACTTTACAAAGGTCGGGGGGGGGGGGGGGCGCGTGTGCCCTTAGATGATGGAAGATGCTTTTCATCTTTAAACACAGGATTCAAATGAGATTTGCTTCTCTTTAATACTTCAACATACTGAATTTTCCTAGGAAAATGACTAGCTATTACAAAAAGTCAAGAGAAGGAAAAAATAGCCTCCATAATAGAGAAGAAATAACTTGATTTTTAAATACATATAATATTATGTTCAGTGCATGTAGGTTTAAAATTAAAGTGATGAGTAGTCAAATTTAATATATAATTAGTTCTTACACATGTTTTACATGGTACCACTTAGCTGCCATTACTCCCACAAAAACCGAAATGTTGCAGTTAACTGTTCACGGACGCTGCAAGGATACATGTGGGAATGAGTACTGGTTCTCCCTTTGATGGCCACTTGAGATGAGAACACCATCCGAAGTATTTTGGCAATGCACAGACCATTCTAAACCTGCATTTGGAGGTATATTGGTTTCTTCCTCATTTATACAGCTATTGTATCATTGTTTTCTATGTTATTCAGGTGTATTTATTTGAAGAAAAGACTGTATGAAAAGAAACCACACCTAACTGTATCGCCAAATTATTTGTAAACTGCCCGTGCCCTGGGCCTCCTGCGCGTGCTCCTCCACAACGGCCAGCACCACTGTGACCCTTCCTTCTGTCCACGAGCATCTCCGTTTAAGTGGTTCACAGCGGATTTAATAAAGAGAAACTGTCCTCGGTCAATCCAGAGCGAGCTCTCGTTAAATCCTGAGTGGTCTCTATTCCTACTGTGTGTTCAGGTGTTGTTGTGGTCACTACTGTTTTGTAAACGTTCACTGAGAGTGTGAGGGTCAGAGGGCCACTTGCTGCCGATGGAGACCAGAGGATGCTCAGGCAGCACTGTGGGTCCGGTCCCTTCGAGCCAGGTGTCCCTCTGAGTCACCAGGCTGCCGAGGTGAAAACCCACGCAGGGGAGAAAGGCGAGCTCCAAGATCCTTCCACGGCCCCACGCGGGAGCCGTCCGGCCACACTGCTGCCCACCTTGAGGGGCCTCCACAGAGTAAGAATTTGGGCAAGAGAGAAAGGAAATCCAGCTCAAACTAGAGTCCACGTACTAAAAGAAATAGACCCCATTTTTATACATTCGTAACTTACTACAGTAAGTTGTTAAAACTGCTCTCTTATTGTTATTGTTGTTAATCTCTTGCACAGACCCCATTTTTAAAGTCATGATATGTTAAGCAAATAGATTTTAAATAAATCATGTATGAAAATTTATGTCCAGGAAATGAGGCAGATTTTATTGACACAACCAGCTCCTATCCTGGCAGGGTTAACATCCTGAGGATACAACAGCGAATGCGCCACTTTGTGGCTTTTCTCAGGTATTCTTCATTTAACAGATTCCCAAACTCACTCGCCCTTTTCTGACGTACGTAAAGGCTGCCGCAAACACCAGGGAAAATGAATCAGTGTCCTCTGGATTTGTTTAAGCTAAAATCAACAAAATGCCCATTTTTGGGGGTTTTTTTACATTGAAAACCAAAAACGTCTTCCTTCTGAAGAAAGATAATAAAAAATACTTCATTTTGCCAGAAGTAAACATGTACAGCCCAGACTGCTTGCTCCTGGCCATGAAAAGACACTGAGGTTTGCTCAGCTAACTGGTAACCATTGTGCTGGTGGGGCAATCAGAAGGCCTGGGGGAGAACTTCATGTTCCGGAGACGTCAGATGAAGCTGGGTTATGATCCAGCTTCTTCACAGATTTCTCAAAATCATTTCACCTGCATAATGGGCACATAATTTTTTTCAGGATGGTTGTAACTACCAAATGGGAAAAATGAATATAAAATACCTAATTCTGTTATCAGAAGTAAGAGATCCTTGTCTCCACTGGTTGCTAGTGAGAGTGGGCTTCTCGTGATATCCCAGAAAAGAAATTTCTGAGAGTCGCATGGGAGAATAAGATATTGTAGAAAGATTTATTTTTATGGAATCAAACCCCTGAGTTTCCAGAGTCCCATTTTCCTTCGTCCCCGAAGGAAGAAGTGTAGCTGTGGCTTCAGCAGAGCTAGAATCAGCGCCAGGGTCCAGAGTCGGGTCCATGTTAGGGCACAGTCCAATCCAGCACCAAGCTAACGTAGTTTGTGTTTCCAGCAGTAGTCCATCAATCCATTGCATGTGGAATCCATGCATGTGGCTATGGAGGGAACACAGGCAGACGCAAGGCCAAAAGCAACCAGAGAACCGAGAGCAAGCAACGAGAGAGAGAGAGAATCCCTCTCTTTAAGGGATTCTGTATTCCTAAATGACCATGGGCTTGCAGTGGTACTGACCACTCTGATCAATGGTCCCTGTCCCCAGGTGTGACTGACAGGTACCTCCCCATTTAACCCCAATTTCACTACACATGCATCCATATCCCCTTTATTGAACCCCCTCCCCCTAGTGACCAGCAGTGGTTTCCTGGGGAGCGTGAAATTGCAGCTTCCTGGTGAAGCTGCCCAAATGACATCCCTATAATGTCTGGCCTCCCTTTGCTCCTTCCTATTATTAATAACTACTTAATTACCACAGTAGCAGTCCCCCATTTAGGAAGAAACAATCCTCTCTGTTATTTTATAAAGGGTGAATGAATGAAGATCTCTATCTTCTTATAAGTGCTTTATGCTGTCAAGGGGCATAGGCCTGCCTATCCCAAGACTCGGAGCTATTCCCCTGATGGATAAAGAAGGAGTGAAATGGAATGAGGAGTCTTCATGCAGGAAAGAGGGATTTTGCAAAGTCCAGGTCAGTCTGGTGTCCCTGGGAGGTGGCATAGGCTATGTCCAGAGGATGATGCATTGGACAGGCTGGCATCCTTGTTGTATTCCAGAAGTGACAAATTTGACAAAAAGGTTAAAAGACATAGTTCAAAAGTGAGACTTATAGAAACTAAAGGTTTGGTCAGAGGTAAAATTCATGTGACAAAGGGAAGGATTAACTTTACAGTGTTCTAGATGAGGTTGGAGTAGGGGCTTCCCTGGAGACAGGGGTGTCCTCTGTCTGAAGCCCTTTTGTCCACCATACTTAATTCAAATTAAGCTAAGGGAAATATTCTAATATTTCCCCCATGAGAAACTATGGCATATTTTTGTCTCAACCACTTGGGCAGAAAAGGGAAAGCAGTTTCAAGTGAAGTTGATAGACCATCCATATTTCGTTGACTCAAGCTAAGTCCAAACTGTTGAGTCTCATTTCAGGAGACAGTGATGCAGACGACTTCTAAAGTCAGGCCTTTGCTGTGTGAACAAGAGGTTAGGTAAATAAGGACATAGGCACACATTCTATAAAAATAGAAGGAAGAACACAAAGCACAAAGGTTAATGCACACAGCATATTATAAACCAGTTAAGAAGACTACCAGACTCAAGGCTTTTGCTGGGATGAAAGCAAGCAGTGACAATCTGATAGATTGTCTGCAGTTACAACATCTCTGATGTTTTTATTAGATGCTGAGGTCTGTATGGCATACACAGACACCATCCTAAAAACAAATCTTTGAGGACAGTTTTCAGCACTGGAGTCCAATAGTCACAAATGGGTGTTGTGATTTCCACTGAAACATAATTTGTCTTCCTAAGATTACCCTCACTTTTTATTATGGCATGCTCATGTTTCTTCACAGTTCTCAAGTCTCCCTTTAAAGAGGATGAAAAAGTTTTAAATATTTTTCTCCCCAAAGTCAATAAGTAATACAATCACTATTCACAGTGCCTGGGGAGTGCTTACTCTGGCAAAGAATTTATTCTGGGTTTTCAAGGAAAGGATTGTCTGCCTTTGACGTACCAATACCTGATAAGAACTCTTATCTAAGCCATCTGTTGGAATACAGATTCTGAAAATAGATCTTATCTGGGCCAAAGCTGTCCAAGCCAATCAGTGTAATTCAATTCACCAATGATTTGCTAAATCAGTGAATTTCACTATATGATACCTGTTTTGTGGAAATATGTCTCTTAATGTGTAAATGTGTTTGCCAGTAAAATAGCCTATCTTTCTAAAAGTTACAAAATGTGTTTGCCTATCTAGGAAATGCTCATTGCTTTATTTTAGCTTTTCTCCCTACCTAACCCCTCCAGTAGTATTTGGCAGTTATTAATGAGTCATGGCAACACATTTCTTTGCAAAAATTCAATAAGACCAGTTTCAAACTGTGTGATCTTTTTTTTTTTTTATCCTCACCCGAGGACATTTCTTATTCAGGTAGAGTGGGAGGGAGAGAGAGGAAGACAGAGAGAGAGAGAAACACCGATGTGAAAGGGACACATCGAGTGGCTGCCACCCGCACGACCAACCAGGGCCGGGGACAAACTGCAACCAAGGTACATGCCCTTAGCGGGAACCGAACCCGGGTTTCTTGGCACCGCAGGCTGATGCTCTAACCGCTGAGCCAAACCGGCCAGGGAAAACTGTGTGATCTTATTAACTATGACTTTGACTGGAATGCCATGTCTGAGACACACAGGCTGGGACTCTGAATGTCACCAGGAAGTCTTAAGGAATTGAGATTGACTCTCAAAGCTGATAAAAGCCCACTGCAGAAATGGTCTGATACCTTACTTGGTCACATGGTTCATGGCAATTTTTCCAAGTAAAAAAAACAGGTTGTTTTCCTGAGAAATGGCATGAAAGGAATTTCAAAACATTTTGGGGACCTCGAGGATTTCAGGAACTGACTCAAACGTACACATATTGCAGGCAAACTGTGGCTTGGCTTCTTTGCTCTAAGAGTCTCACAATAGCTCAATCTAATAATTCCTTGTAAAAAATTCCAGCAGAGAAAATTTGAAATTTATTTGTGATAAATTTGATGAGTTGCTATTCTTGTTGTGTTTATGTAAATAATCTGGCAAGAGGAAGTCAAAGAGATGAAGGTCTTTGATGGTAGAACCCAGGGCACACAGATCCCAGAGGCCCTGGTTCAAGTTCTTCTTCATGACCATGGTGGCTTCCTTGGAGTCCTGAGTTTT